AAATTATTTGACTGTTTTATATATATACATACATATTTATATTTATATTATTTACATATATGTATCTTTTTTCCACTGGATATATCATAAGGTCTTTGAGAGAAGGGACGGAGGGCAAACTTTTCTACCTCTGTTTTCTAGTACAATGCCTGGGACATAATAGGCACTTAATAAATATTTCTTGGTGGGTTTTTTATTTTATTATATCTGTCATGATAAATGCTATGGAAAATAATAACAGTGATATTTTTAGAGACAATTTTTTTCCTCCATTCCCTTCTATTCATTCATACACACACCCCTATCCTCTCTCCCCCCTCCCCCATTCCCAAAATCAAGTTCAGACTACCATGGTATTTCTTAAACTCTTGTAGCCTTAAAGTAAATGATTCTTTCTGCTGCTGTTTTTTATGTATGTGTATTTTTTTTTAATCTTACGGGTTGAATTTGTTTTTCAAAGTTGTAATTATACCATTTTACTTCTATAACAATAAGAAGAGTGATTTTCTGGAGCATTATTTTTGTTTATGCAACCAGTTTTAAATAGGTGTTTTGAAAACCTTTTATGATTCCCTTCATAATGTTATTATCATATAAATATAAAGATTAGGTTAAAAACCACACTACAAGTTAATCAGATATTTTAAAATTAACATTCTTAGTTATGTAGTTTCTGAATCAATTTGTATTTCCACATCCTCCCATCTTTGCGGATATGCTCTTGCTCAGTAGCAACTGTTTGTGAGGATAGGCAGGAAGACCTCTGTGAAACAACCTAGTCTATTGTGCAATTTGTATTCCTGTTCTGGTAACAAAAAAACGTTTTTGTGGGAGCAGAGTGAAGATACTAGATAAAATGAGGATTATTTCAGTGTTTCCTTCCTCTTGACCTTTTTTTTCCCCATAGAAGAACAAATGATATATTCCTCCCCCAAATTTTAATATGGTGAAAGTGAATGTTTTTTGTATCTAATTTATTGCTTCCACTTGTAATAATTTTGTTCCGAGTCATCCTCAAAATTGAGGCAGATTTTGGACACCTGTTTTTAGTACTGGAATTATGATAGTTAGTTAAAGCTCTACCTGTTAATGCAATCTCATTATTTCTTCCTGAAATTGAATTAGAGACTATAGACATTTGATTCCTTGGTCACAGGGTTATTACAAGAATTTAGTTCACAGTGACACATTTTTTACTTTATTAGCTCCCTTAGAGGGCTCTGTGACATTTGAAGGTCCATTGTGACATCACAAATCCATCTTCAGGGAACCTAGCAACAGATTGGATATAGTCTGTTAGGTCTAAATCAAGTGCTGTGTTTCAACATTGTGAGGTTTCTCCCAGTTACAAGTATCATTAATAAGATTTTTAAAATTGCAAAGCCAAGTAAGGCTGTAAATCGCATCATCTAATTTATCTCTTCAGATTAGCTGTCTGTAGTGGGGTTTTCAGTGGATGTGGTGGCATCAGCATAATCTATGTTTCAGGCATCACACACAGGAGGACTGCTCTTTAGGGGATCTAGAAAAAAAGGTAAACTACATGCCCATTATGGGTTAAACAGATCACTTTATACATCTTTTGGGCAACATCTTTATTGTAAATAAAAACATGCAAACTAACAAGGTTTTTATTTGTGAATATAATTTAAGTAACTAAAAATCCTTCGTTTAATATTCATTTTGATGTGACTTTCTGGAGAGTGATGAATATACATAAATGTATTGAGCTATTCAAAGCTAAGATTTTTTTTCTTATAAAAATCTTGGAATGCATATTTGATATTTGAATCTCTTCCCCTTATTTATGCATATTCTTTAGATTCAGACATAATAATATATTTTTATTAAGATATCACTTTCCTCAACTCCAAAGCATTAATTCCAATTCACTTTTTTCATTAGTCAAAAGCTGCTTATTTTTAATTTTGATGACTTAGCTTTTAACATTATTCCAAGTTCCTGAAATAGGACCATTTGAAAGGAGTATCATATTTTTCTTTCTACATTTTAATGAAATCTTCAGAGAAGACTGTATCAGAGAAGCTCTTTCTTAGAGCAGAATCTCTGGTGTTAATGTGGTAACAATCTTTTGAATTTCTTGGCAGTAATACACTTTTAAAATAGCTTTTTGCTATCATTGTTCTTTTTAGGAAAAGAGTCCTTTAAGAATAGATTTCCCAGGGAGCTTCTGTAAAATTAAAAATCTGCTTCCTACCCTGATCTTTCCTCCAAATTATAATTCTATAACAGCCCCTCTATTGGACTTTTCACCTGGATGTCCCACTATCATTTAACTTTTTTCAAAATTGAATCAGTAATTGCTTCTTAGTCCCCCCTCCTTAGTCCTTTTTATTATTACCCAGTTTTTTCAAGGGAATCATTGTTCACTGTTGCTACCACCATTGTAATTTATTCTCCCTCATACCCTAAGTTATTGCAGTAATCTCCTGTTTGGCCTCCCTGCTCCCAGTCTTGTCAGCTTCCAGTTCATTTTATGTGCTAATAGCAGATAATTGTTGTTCAGTTGTGTTCAACTCTTCATGACCCTGTGGACTGTGGTCACTCCATACTCTTTGTGGTGTTTTATTGGCAAAGATACTGGAGTGCTTTGCCATTTCCTTCTCCAGTGGATTAAGGCAAACAGAAGTTAAATGACTTGCCCAGGGTCACGCAGCTAGTGAGTGTCTGAGGCTGAATTTGAACTCAGGTCTTACCCTAGGCCCACTGCTCTTTCTACTGAGCCACCTAGCTGCCTCTGATAGATTAGTCTTCTTAAATATTTGTTTATTTTTTTTTTTAAATCACATCATTCTTTTGCTCAGAAGCTCTCCATGCTTCCCCAGTGCCTAGAAGATAAAGGGACAAAACAAATACTACATTTAGCTTGACATTAAACATATATCATAGGCTGGCTCAGATTCTATCATGTCCCATTACGTTCTTTAAAACAAATGTTTACATTGGGCTGGTGTCCTCACTGTCCTGTGATCGTCCTATGTGCATTCCCCCTTTAGTGCCCTAATTCATTCTTATCTCTATAGACCTTTCTCCTTCTACCAACCTTAATTTTACTCATCCTTTAGGGCCCAAATCAAGGCCAAATTATGAAGCTTTCTTTGACCATTCTAGCCCTCTACTTTGAACTCCTTAACGATCTGGGCTACAAAATTTTGCTCTTAATATAATGTATTCATCCAGGCACCTGAACTAAATTGTAATCTCTTTTTGATAGAGGAACATATCCTTTTTTCTGTATTACAGTATAGCACAGTGCTGAGTGCATTCTAGGGGCTGGGTAAATATTTGTGGGATTGGTAGGGAATTTGCTTTTTGCAAGAAACCTATTATGAATACCTTAGGTTTTGTTGTGTTTTTTTTTTTTAACCAGACTTGTGCTTTCATCTGTGTAGGGAGAGCTTTGGCGAGAGACTTCCTTTTCCAGTATATGTACCTTCTCTGCAGTTTATAGTCTTAGAACACTGAAAGGGTCATGCAGTAGTGTTCATCAAAAGCAGAATTTGATCTCAGTCTTTTTGATTCTGAGACTTAGCATCTATCCATTAGAAGAGCATATGCAGTGTAAAGAGAGATTTCCATTATTTTTTCATTTTTATCAAGTTGGATATGCTTGTCTCCTAATTCGTCTGTTTACTGTCAGTATGATTTATGATGGTGTAACATTTATGATATGCAGAACATTTTCACATATGTCCTTTTATTTCGTTGTCATAACAGCCCCGTGAGGTAGAAAGATGAGTCCATTTTACTGTCCTCTTTGTATAGATTCAGAGAGGAATGCCCAAGGGTCACACAGCTAATATGTGCGACAGCTGGAATTTGAATGTGTCCAATGTCAGATTCCAATGCCCTTTTCCTGACACTGTTCTGCTACTTTATCAGTCTGAAGAAGTGTTGAAAATTAGAATTATCCCCTGAAATAAGATCACAAAGTTTCCTGCAGCTCCATGGACACAGTGCCAGGCACCTGGTTTTCTGTAACATCTTGAGCACTGTAGGATTTGGTCGCTGCTCTTCAAAAATTACATGTCAAGGAGGCGAATGCTAAATTACTCAGTAGCAAGGAAAGAGAGGCACAGCTTGCTGTTTTCTGGGTATGTCTATCACTAAGATGATTAGGTTGTTTCTTTGTCTTACATGTTTGTGGAAGGAATCTTTGTGATTAAGAGATTCAGTAATTTAAAATTTCCTTTAGCAATAATGTTCTTTAGCTGATAGAAATCTTTGTTGAGAGGACCTTGACAGGTAGTGAAAGAGGAGGCAGTTTTTCTCCTCAGCATGGTCTGAGCTTTGTACAGAGCATTTGAGTTAAATAGGATAGCAAGGGATGGGAGGGAAGAAGGACCCTGTTGTTAATGGGTTAAAAACCCTCTGCAAGTATGTGGGGTTCTTGGTATTACTTCTGGTGTGCATTAGCTTGTGATTTTAATATATAGGTGTGGCAGTACTGCGTCTGCAGGGCATTGTCCTATGATCATAAGTACATCAGAATGTCATCAACTTGAGATTTTAAGTAACATTTGTTAGAATAAAAAGATTCCCAAATTTAATTTTCACTTAGTTTTCCTCACTCTTAAAATATTACAGGTAAAAGGTAAAAATAGTCATCTGAAGAGTTTAACCATAGCGTTGAGCTTTGCCAAAGGAGGCTTGGTTTCTGTAGTGGTGAGGTGGTTTAACTGCCTTAGAATCCTTTGCTGGGAACATTCTTAGCCCACCTAAGCATGGGGACTGAAAGTGAGGGTCATGGATTTTTTTTAATATCTATAACATCAGAGAACAGCTGTTCTAGGATAATAATAATAATAATAATCTCCTAATGGTAAATATAGCAGCTTGTTTGTCATTCCTTGATAACTAAAAAAAGAAAAGTAAATAAACTGGTCTTAGTGATGAGTAGCGCCTATTTTTTGGCCATTGTTACTGTTGTTTTGTTTTTATTGTGACATTTTTGTAATACTGAATGATCGTTTTTGCAGGTTTCTGTAGCTGGATCAGGTACCGGAAGAGGCTCTCCAGCTGTAACTCTAGTGCAGTTGCCTTCAGGTCAAACTGTACATGTCCAGGGAGTGATTCAGACACCACAGCCATCGGTTATCCAGTCACCACAGATACAAACTGTTCAGGTTAGCTTTCTTTCTGGATGACTTTGAACTTTCTTAGGCTCCAAAAAAAACATTGCCTAAGTTGTTTTTGTCTTCTCTGTAGAGCTGTTCTTATTAAAATCTTTTCTTAGATGTTACAGAGGTATTTCTGTGATACTTCTGTCATGCTTTGGTAGTTTAGGGTACTGCTCTTAGGACTTAATTTGCAAAATGATGTCAAACAAGGCAGCTAAATGGAACAGTGGCTAGAACTCTGGACTTGGAGTCAGGAAGACCGAAGTTCAAAAGCAGCTTCAGACAATTACTAGCAGTTTGAACCCAGGGCAAGTCACTTAACTCCTGCCTCAGTTTCCTTATTTGTAAAAATGGATATAATAGCCCCTACCTCTTAGGGTTGTTGTGAGGATCAAATGAGATAATATTTGTAAAGCTCTTGCAAACACTTCAAGAAGTATTATAAAAATGCTAGCTGTTATTAAATTAGTCAGCTAACTTATTTCTCTCTAGGGAAAAAAATCAGGCTTATAAATTAATCAGTGGTACATATTTTGAGAATCCCTCATGAAATACATTTGGTAAATATATTGGGATGATGGTGTTAGGATGGCATGGTTTTTAGGAGTGTCATATTGTTACAAGGAGACAATTGATTTTGAAATTAGTGTTTCTTCAGAAAAGTGATAGCTCAGTTCACTTTGATGCTATATATTCTTGAGTTTTTACTCTCTTAAATACTTGGATTTCTTTATAATCTTATAGTTTTAATCTTGTGATACTTTCTAGTAAACATTTATTCCAGTAGATCTTAAATCATCTGTTGTGGCTAAAATTTCATATTGTTTATGATGTAAATTCCATAAAGGGTTAGGAATGCATATTCAAGTGTATTTGTGTGTTCAGTTTACTCATTTTCTTTTCATTCCTTTTGGGGAATAATTTTTTTTCTTCAAATACTGACATTGACCATAAGAAGGAATCATGACTTGGCATATTTTATTCATATCTGTTCTTGAAAGCTTGGATCCAGCAGTATAATGAATATATATTTTAAATTTTTATTTCCAAACATATCCCTCCTCATCCTCTACCCCATGAGCCATCTTTTCAGCAGCATAATATTTTAAATTGTAGGTATCAGCCTTTAAAATTTTAAAATTATCTTTGTGTATTGTACATCTTTTCTTATGTTGTTCAAATTATTTAAGAAAATTTGGCCCAAATCTATGCTCTGTATGTTAGTAGATGATTTACAGGCAAGTTTTAAAACTTTCTTGACTCCTAAATCTAGACTTTTCATCTTCTGTTTAGATTCTTAACTTAATAAGGCATGTCATTCTTTGTCCCAGGTTTTTACATGACTGAAGTTAAATGAAGGCATAAAGTCTTGAGTATACTGGGAATTTAGTCATGTCGAGCAAATGAATGGATTTTCCTTGTATGAAGGAATGTAGAGAGCTTTTTAAAGAAAATAACTGAACTTATGATTTCATCTGAGTAGGGCAACTCCCTACATGGAAGCTACCTCTACTGATAGAGCTCAGCACCTTCCCTGTAACTTTGTCTTGAAGTGTTATGTGGGCCATTCAGAGGTTGAGTGACTTGACTACGGTCATAAAACTAATATATATCAGATATAGGCCTTGAACCCAGTTTTTCCAGAGTCCAAGGCCAGCCTTCGTCTTACTGCCATATTGCCTTAAAATTTTTGCTAAGATCTAAGAGAGAAATTTTTCTGTTTTGTATATATGTATGTGCATGTGTGTGTGTGTGTGTGTGTGTGTGTGTGTGTGTACTGTGATTATATAATAACCCTTTTCCAGAATCAGTTATTTTTGTGCCTTTTGTTGTCTTTTGTTTTAACACTGTAGTCTTTTTTGGAAATACCCCTTTCTTCCCAATTGAACATTCTCTTATATCGAAGAAAAATAGTCAAAAGAAACATAATATAGTAATTACATATGAGAGCATGTTTGTGTATAATATTCTGCCTTAGTTGTTTGCCACCTCTATTGCCAGGTTTAGAGTGGTATTTTTCATTATGTGCTCTTCAGCATACTGGGTTCTTTAATTGTTAAAAGTTGGGCTTTGTTTTAGTGGGTGGTTTTTTCCATTGAAATTGTTGTCAGTATTTATTTTGTTACCATCTCTACTCATGTCACTCTGTATCAGTTTATACAAACCCAGTTTTTCATAGTTGTCATTTCTTACTGCATAATATTTCTTTACATTCATAAATGAGTTTTTTTGGACAATTTCCCAGTTGATAAGTTATTTTTCCCCCAGTTCTTTTACTATAACAAAAAGTTGAAGATGTGACTATTTTGATATAGTATTATATATCAGACATTTGTTTCTGTCTTTGACCTCCCATATACATATATATATACACACACACACACATGCGCGCGCACGCCCAGTATTGGGACCACTGGGTCAAAGAATATGAACATTGTAATTATTTTTTTTACATAATCTAAAATTCATAATCCAAAATGGTTTAACAGATAGTAGCTCTACTAATAGCATATTTTTGTGCCTGTTTTCCCTTAGTCACTTCAGCAGTGATTCTTTCCCCTTTTTTTGGTCATCTTTGCCAGTTTGCAAGTTATGGAGTAAAATCTTGGAGTTTTAATTTGCATTTAAAGGAGTTTGAAGTGTATTTTCCATATGATCATTTATAGTTTGCATTTTTTCTTTTGAAAAAAGAAAATGGTTGGACCTCTTATCTGTTGGCAAATGGTTCTTGGTGTTATATTTGTGTCCATTCCCTATGTATCTTGAATATCAGACATCGATTATGTTGATTTTTTCCCACTCAGCATTTTCTCTCTTTATTCTATCTTCATTCTTATTTTTTGTAATCAAAATTATCTACCATGTTTTTAATTTTAAAAAATTTAGAATAGTATTTTATTTTCCCCTAATTACATGTAAAAATAACTTTTAGCATTCATTCTTTTTTTTTTTTAATTTTGAGTTCCAAATTCTATCCCTCTCTCTCCCTTTCCCCTTCCCTGAGATGGTAAACAACCTGATATAGGTTATATATGTGCAATCACGTAAAACATTTCCATGCTAGTCATTTTGTGTAAGAGCACTCAAGCCAAAAAAAGAAAAAGAAAGAAAATGAAAAATAGTATGCTTCGATCTGTATTCAGATGACATCAGTTCTTTCTCTGGAGGTAAATAGCATTTTTCGTCATGAGTCCTGTGGAATTGTCTTAGATCATTGTATTGCTGAGAATTGCCAAGTCATTCACAGTTTTTCATCATATGATGTTGGTGTTGCTGTGTACAGTGTTCTGGTTCTGCTCACTTCACTTTGTATCAGCTCACACCATGTCTTTTATGTTCATCTCTAGCCCTTCTTTAGTTAAAGGTTTACCTCTTAATTGTAGTTGTGAAAGGCATCTCCTTTCATTCTCTAATTTTTTGTTTTATGATATAGGCTTTTGTGTTCAGGTAGTATATCCATTTGATTCTTTACTGTGTTGTATGCTATTCTAAATTTAACTTCTGCTAAGCTACTTTCCTATTTTCCCAGTAGTTCTTGTTTGTTCCACTGATGTAATTTTATGTGTTTTTAACCAGAGTTTTGGTCACTGTTGGTCATTTTCTTTCTTATAAACTTTATTCTAAGTTGCGGATTTATGTTTTGACTGGATTTTTCAGGGAGACCCCACACCATTGTAATAGTAGGTTCTCTGAGATTCTGAATCATTTCCAAGTCTGAGTAAACCTATTAAGAAGTAATTAAGTTTAATCCCTTAAATGTTTTCATTTGTTCTAGGCTGTCCTAGATTGATCTGCTTACCTTTTCAGAATTTAAAAATTTATGAGTGGTGCTGGTACTTTTGGCTGTTAGTGTGTATTAAGGAGTTACTGGCAGATTCTGATACCCAATCAGAGCTGCTAGAATAATAGAAGCTTTTTAAGCTAAACACTTTTTCAGACTTTATATCATGATAGAGATATGTTTCTCTAGATGGCATTTAGCCCTTCATTTTTGTCTTGTGAATATGCTTCTTTTGCTGTCTTGAGTTTTAGGACAAAGTTGATGATATTAGTTATGGTCACCCCCAATACAGAGACATTAAGAAATATGGATTATATTAGAAGTATGGATTAGTCATTAATTTCATCATTATATTCAAATTATACTACCTTATCTTGATAGGAACACATGAATAATTGTGTCAGAGCTCCCTTCTCATGGCAGAATATTATAAAGGACTCTGGAAGCACATTATTATTATATATGTGGATGGTGTTTATATGTATATGTGTGTGTTCACACACACATAGACACATGTACACACGTGCTATCTTGAGACACTCTAGTACTATTGGTACTATACCATCTGTTGGAAAATCAAATTTTCATCAAAGTCAGACTATTAAAGTACTTTGTCAAGTTAGAAGTCTGTATACCCATGTACATAAATCTGCATAAATGACTGATATTTTGGTTAATCAGGGTTTTTGTGTTCATATCAAGTTTTAGCATTATTAGGCTTACTGCATTATACTTATTGTTATTGCACTAAATTTACCATTGTGACTGATACTAATAAATACTCACATTTCTATGATTGTTGGTAAATTGTAAGCTCTTTAGGATAGGGAGCATGTAGCTTTTTTGTCTTTGAATTCCCATTACTAAACTCCATGCTTTCAGCATACTAAGTGCTTATTAATGACTTAATTGAATTAGTTAATAATATTTTACATATGTTCTCATTTAATCATCACAATGGTCCCCTATAATTTATGTGGTTCAGTGTTCAGAGTGATTGAGAGTTAATGTTGTTTTAGAAATGTAAATTTAAATTTTTCCCAGGTTTCCTTAATATTTGTTATTGTATTTAATGTTATTAGACCTTAAAAGTGAAACAATACTACTACTTTTTTGAGAAGAGATAAACAAATTTTTATGTTCCACATTTTTGAGGCTTCCCAGTTTGATACTGGAATCTAATTTGGGAGGAATCTTAGAGAATATTTACACCAATTCATTTTATGAAGAAGTTATAGTTTTTTAGAAATATACTATGATTTTTCAAAGGCACACAACTAATTAGACATTGCACATTTCCTCCTGTGTGTCTTTTGTTTCACTGGCCTTTTTCTTCTTCCATACTGTCATTATAAAAGGATAATGTCTTTATGCCAGGGCCAGATTGGATCTGTCTTTGAATACCACTCTTTCTAATCTTCACCTCTTTGGACTGGTACATAACACAAGTCTTTTGTTTAGCCAGAATGGTATATTTGCTGCCCCTAAAGCATGCCATGAAAACCCCTATTTCCTCTGTGTTTTTTTTTATAATATTCCCTCCAACACTAAGTGCCACACCCCCTTCCTTTCTCCATTTATTTAAATCCTATGAAGCCTTCAAAGAGTACTTGGAGTGAACAGTGCAACATGGCAGCCAAAAAGGCTAATATGATCTTCAGCTGAGCTAAGAAGGCCATAGTGTGCACAATAAGGGAAGTGATAATTCCACTGCACTATTCTTTCCTGGTCAGACCCCATCTAGTTATTGTGGCACTTAAAATTAAATATGTTTTAGGAAGGACATTAACAAGTTAGAGTATATCCAGAGGAAGGTGACCAGATGATGACATGGCAAGAGAGTATGCCATATGAAGATCACAAGAAGGACCTAGGTAATTTTTAGCCTGGAGAAGAGAAAACTTGCAGTTTCCATGATAGTTGCCTTCAAAGATTTTCTTTTCAGATTTTCTTTTTTTAAAATTAGAAATTTCACAATCAACATGTGAATATTTCCATATAGAAGAGAACAGAAAAAAAGAATAATATATGAAATGTGGATCTTAATTACATGGAAATTGCTTCTTTTAAAGAAGTGTATTAAATTTTTAATGCTTTTGTACCAACGCTATCTTGCTTATCTGTGTTTCCTTCTGGACTTTTTTCTGCTCTCTTCTTTTTTTATGTTATATTGACATTCTTTTTAAAATTTTCATCACCTGACCTACCCATTCCTTCCTGCAATTATTCCTCTTCTCAAAAAAATCCTTCCCTTTTTAAACAAAAATTAAGGACAGTCAAGCTAAACAAATTCACACATAAGTAATGTCTAACAACATATGTCTCATTCTGTCTTTGTGAATTGGAATGGTGTTCATGTAGAATGGAGATTATATTCATTTTGATTGCCCCAGAGGGTAGTGGAGTGGATGTTATGAAGGCACATTTGGTCTCAAGGTCTGGAAAGCTTGCTGACAATTAAAGTTGTCCAGAAGTGAAGTGGTTGCTTCAAGTAGAGGATTTGACCTTACTGGAAATCTTTAAGTGGAGGCTGGTTGACCACTTGCTAAGGATGTTGTAGAAGGAATTTCTTTTCAGGTACAGGCAGAGCTAAATGACTTCTGAGATTTCTCCGCACAGTAAGGATCCTTGATTCTTTGACACAGAATTCTCCACCTTCTACATAGAATCTTCCCACATTATTCCAGATCTGCAGTGATTTGGCTTTCTCTCAGATCTGTAGTGTTTATCTTATGTGCTATTTATTTGGCACATAATTATATATACTGCTGTCCTGTTGTAAGTATTTCATGTGTTGATGTATTTTCTCTAGCTAGATTATAAGTTCCCTGAGGGCTTGGACTATGTGTACTTAATTTGTATCTGCCACAGTACATAATGTAGTGTTTTATATGTAATATTCTTCAATAAATATTTATTGGTTGAATGAATTAATTAGAAGGCCTTTTATTTTATGATGAATTTTTAGAAACTCTTGTATTCTAGGTAGCAACAATTGCAGAGACAGATGAATCTGCAGAAGCAGAGGGTGTAATTGATTCTCATAAACGTAGAGAAATCCTTTCAAGAAGACCTTCATATCGGTGAGTTTGTTAAAATTTCCATTGCAGTGTAATTGTTGTATAATATTACGTAATTAGCCATCAACACCTTAATTTTAAACTTTTGTTTTTGCTTTTAGTTTTATTTCTTAAAAGCATGTTTTAGAGAAGTTAAAGTGATCATTTATACTCTGCAAATTGTGTTTTAGAAAAATACTGAATGAACTTTCATCTGATGTGCCTGGTGTTCCCAAGATTGAAGAAGAAAAATCTGAGGAAGAAGGAACACCACCTAACATCGCTACTATGGCAGTGCCAACTAGCATATATCAGACTAGCACGGGGCAATACAGTATGTATACTAAGATACAATATGATATAATTTTATTTTTAAGTCCTCTGTAGTTATATTAAAGAAGTATATACCATGCTGAATTAAAATAATTTTGCTTTTCAGCATTTATTATTTTAGTTTTTAATACATCAATTATTTCCACCTGTATGTATTACAGAATTTAAAAAATGGATGTTAAATAAAATGAGATTTGTACTGAAAGCCATTTACACATTGAAAAAGTCTGCTTTTATTAATAATCAAAATAAAAGAATTAAAAAGAAAAGAATTGGGTAATAGTGTATATGGCAAGGTTTTTACCCTTTTCAGATATATTTTCTTTCATTTCTGCTAAGAATTTTTGCTTTGTTATTGTTTGTGGTCATTTTACTGTAATTGTGTATTAAAGTTAAAAGCAAATGAATAGAGCTAAAGTCTGTACTTTACTGTTGTTAACTCATTATGAAAAATACCTATTATTTATTAATATGAAAAGGTTATATTTGTATTTTTAAAAATGTTTTTAAGTGTATTTCCATTTCCATTCCTCTCTTTGTTCATTTATATTGTAGCTCTGCCAAAATGAGGATGGGAAAAATATTTAGCTTTTAAAACCACAATAATAAGGCAGACAATTTAACTGAAATCTTGAAACTGATGCTTATATGTGCATTGCTCTTATATATGTTAATGTATTGTAAATACTTATGTTCATTGCTGTAATTAAGGCACTAGTTGTTACTCCCAATAAAGAGCAAGTTTGCTAAGTCAATGCTTTTGTAAAAGAGATCTGTGTTGCAGGTGCTGGAGGATTGGAAATTTAAACATTCTGTTGGTCAGATCTAGGACTAAATTTTGAATGGTCTCTCTCCAAAACCCTTCCAGAGTTCATCACCTAGGATGAAAAATCTTATTATTACATTCACAGACTTTAATCTGAGCAAGGAGGAAATCACCTGTGAGATCTAGAAAGACTTTGTCAGTTTAATGTGCTTTAGGATATTTTTCCAGTTGTGCTGATAGTTTTACACTAAGCCATCTACACAATTTCCTTTGCTGCTTTGGTGACAGGTATTGTGTATTTATAATACAGCTAGTATTGGATGAGACTTGGAAGAACTGGGTTTTAGTGTGGCTCTGTGACCTTGGGCAAGTCACTTCATTGCAAAAATCAGATGCTTTTGATAAAGAGTACATAAACATACGCAGAAAAAGAAGATTGTTTATAGACTACACTCAGCTTTTACACAAGCTAGATTTAGGGGAAAAGTGGCTTTCATGTCGGTATAAAAAATGTTTACTATTCCACTTTACTAAGTCATTTATCATAAGGTTAAAAAGATAATTTGTGTGAAAAGTAATGCAGTTAACATAGAACATTTAAAAAAATGTAGGGATAGCATCAGAGTCTCATACACATTTATTAGACTTCTGCTTCTGCCCAAATAAGGACATTTCTTCAGGGCACTTTTGGATCCAGCTTTCTGTGCAGCCAGTGGTCAAGTATTAAACTTGAATTGGAGATAGTGTAAAGGGTAATAGCATATCTTCCACTTGAGAAGATTGTAAAGCTAGATAAGGGCTTCTTTTTTTTTTTTTTAGTTCTGTAGATGTTCATGTCTTTGTTTTAAGAAAGATCTACCATCTTACAGTTTTCTGTATTTGAGCCATCTGTACGCTAGAACTGGAAGAACTAGTTTCCAGTTTGTCTCTGATGTAATATTATTAATCATTTTAAACACCAAATCCTGGTTCTTTTGTAGATTCAGTCTTTTGATAATACTTGACCTTTGTTAATTCAGCAGTGTGATTAGAAAGGTGTACTGTATTTCTGTAAATTCATGTCCCTGGACCCAATCGTTACTATGTTAGTAAAATATAATCTGCAGAACCTTCTAAACTTACTTTACCTTTATTTAGAAGATAAATATATAAATATATGGTTTTATATTAATTGTAATGCTTACTTTAAAGCATCATTTTATAGTCAATAACACTCTTGTTTTCAAGTCTATGTATGCATGGTTAAATAGTGTTAATTGCTGATGTCAACAAAGGTCAAGTGGAGAAATTTGCCTCTACTATAACAGCCAGCCAGTTTCCATCTAGATGTACTTTTTGAGGGCTTTTCAGAATCTTTTGTTGCAAAAACTTGTAGTTTTTGTTTGTTTCTTTAATTTTCATCTCTGATTTCTGCTAATCTTCCTATTATGCATATTTCCTTTAATAAATTAAAAACAACTTAATCTGTCATTGGTATTTGAAGGGTTGATTAATTATAAAAAGCAAAAATTACTAATATAAAAGTTGGAGAAATGAAATCTTTTATAAATATGTTCCAAATAGATAATGGTCGTCAGCATATATTGGAATGTGCACCTACATATAGATAGAAATTCTATGAATAGAATCTGAAAGTTAGTTATTTGCTATAGGTTTGCTGTACTTTTATAACATGTCTTGCCCTACCAGAAAAAATAAGAAATGAATATTGAGTTAGAATAGTTCCCGGTGTTAGGGGGGGAAAAGAGATAAAAGTAAGAAGAGATCCATTGTGTATGCGCATGATCTGAAATCAGTTAAGTCTTCATGTATTTCAGCATAGTCATATTGATGGTTTTGTTGCATGACAGTTGCCATTTTTGTACAAGTGGAATTATTTTATCTCAGGAGAAATCATTTAAAGAAATTATATAAATGGTCTCTATTTTAGTCCTAGAAATATAAATATGTTAGTTATTGAATTAGATATTACACATATTCCATGAAATCTCCCTTTAAAATTTTTACTACATAAACAAGAGAGAATTTCTCCCAAAAATACAGTAATGGAACTTATTAATTTAGCATGATGTTGGAATATTGATGAAGTTTCTTACTATATAAAAGTTTCCTTTAAAAACTATAAATTTTCCTATCAAACGTAAGATCTTTTTACTTGATAGTATAGACTTATTGAATATTTCCCTTACCCCCAGATTCCAGAATATCAGTTATTCCCTACTCCATACATATTTTCTGATCATTTTTCTTGCCCTCAAATATTCTTGCTTCTGTTGCATTGGAAATTTTGCTAATATCTGATTTTAGTATCTCAACCTTTATGAGCTTATATTTAAAATTAAGTGAATCAGTCTATAAAAAATGACTTGCAGACTGATTAGAGGGATTAATAGTCTTCTTAAGATTTCAGAGTTGTTGGGAAAGTCATAGGTCTGCTGAGTCTATTCTTTATAGAAGGAATTTGGTTTATACCAAGTTTCAATTCAACTGAGATAACTGATGAGTTTCTAAACCTAAAGTACTATATAAAATGTCAACTATTATTATTAAATGAGCATAGTTACATTTACTACAGTTATTAACTTTTGTGTTTTGTGCCTTTGACTTTGGAATCGTACATAGAGTATATTTTCAGAGGTATAGACCAGATGCCTTAATGTACATTGTAAAAAAAAAAATGTTTTTATCAGGAGTAGTCTTATGTATTTCACAAATCTCACTTTGTGTGACCCTTCCTATTGAATCTACTCTTTATTTCCATGTGGTTAGTTGTGTTGTGAAACTTACTGTTCATTCCCAACTCTGCCAATGAATTTTGTGACCTTGGGCAAATCATGGGTAAAATGCAATAGTAATGCCTAACTTAATTATCTCACATTTACCCACATTTTTATAAATGTGACCTGTGTGATATTTGTGATCCTTGTATTGACAAACGGGCCAGAGTAAGTCTCAGCCGTGGCTAGATTTTAAGAATCTGAGTCCATAACTCTTTCTTTTGTTTCAAGTTTTTCTGTGGAAATTTAAAACGGAGGATTTGTGGTGAGAATCTGTTGTTCTTTTCCAATCTGTCAACATTTTATCAATGAGGATACATTGTTGTTGTCTGTTACCTGTTTTTTCACAACCTATGTAGTTAAGGTAACTTTAAGAATAGATAATATGTATCTGCATTGACTGAAACTGACTGAAACAACAAAAGCACTGTAATAAAGACTCTGGAGATGAAACATTCAGGTAAGCTCCTAGAAGACGGGAATTGTAGCTTACAATGTAGTAGAGGGATAAAACAAATATACAATGAGAAGCTAGTGCATTGAAGGCTTAAAACAAAGGTTAGGTGGATTGTGATTAGTGGTCATTAGAGAAGACCTCACTTGGCTGCTTAGGAGGTAGTTTATGAATTGGCCTTTTAAAGATGGACAAGAATTAAATAGTTGAAAAGGGGAAAGTAGAACATTCCAGGTATTAATTATGAACAAAGAACATTAGTTTAGTTTGTAAAGCACTCGGCCAGTGTAGAGAGCAGAGAATGATACTATTTGGTTATAGCATAGAGTACATCAAAAGGGTTAACGTGAGATAAGGGGGGAAATGGTGAGGATGGTCCAAGTTTGTGGAATGTCTTGAAGGTGAAATGAATTAATTTGAATTTTCTTCAGGCAGTAGGAAGCCAATGAAGATTTTTGGTCAGAGATGGACATGCCTGAAGCTAAGCTTCAGGAAGATTAGACTGTATGAAGGATAAGTTGGAGGGGGTAGAGAGAAGAGAAACAGGAAGATCTATTAAGAGGGTATTGAAATAATCCAAGTTGTTGGTACTGGGTATAAGGGATGAATGTTAGATATATTTCTGTGTCAGAATTGCGTGGACTTGGTAACTGATTGGATGTGAGAAGTGAGAGAGGGAAGAAGAATCAAAGGTAACATGGAATGGAATATAGAAGAGAACGATGACAGAAATAGTGAAGTCAGTGTGCAAATTAATGTGTCTTTACATGGTTAGGATATAACATATATTTGACCAAGTCACTTCAAGTCATAGGGCAAATCATTCATCTTCCCAGATTGACTCCTTATCAGGTTTATATTATAGTTGTGCTATTACCTGTGTGAACTGTAGTCGAGTAATTTATATTCTCTAGGCCTTACATCTGTGTAATCAGGATTCTTACCTTTTTTAGTATAATGGACCCCATTTTTATTTTAAATTCATAATTGGAGGAAGTGCTAAA